TCAAGATAAGAGAACAATGGGCAACTTTTTTTCTTCAAAGTATACAATAGTTAGATTTCTAAGTTTAGTTAGTTAGATATTATGTTTCTAGTTTGATAGTATTGACAAACATATGTTTTATAGCTTTTTTAGGATAATAGGATTTACATTGTCATAATTTATGCTTTTTAAGATTTATATATTATTTTCTTTTTGTCATTCAATTTTGAAATATAATTTGAATTTGTATTCTGGACTGTCTAGTTTATATATGCAGGTTTTATATTGGGTATATCAAAAATAAAAATAAATTTTTTTTAAATGCCAGATTTTACGTCGGACATGGTGTAGTCCGACGTAAAATCTCAGGCCCTTTTTATGTCGGGCATAGGGCAGTCCGACGTAAATTTACGTCGTGTATCAGAGGCGATGTAAATTTACGTCTCCCGCATTAATGTCGGAGCCTTTTCTGACGTAAAAGCCTTAAAATAGCCGACGTAAAAGACCCCTTTTGTACTAGTGCTTATATTTGATTTTATTTTACATATATAAATATATTATTTTTATTTTGATATATAAATTTAAAAATGTTTTATATAGATACTAATGAAAAAATATTTTTTTAAAAGATATATAGTTAAGTTTAACAAAATTTATAATAATTAAATATATAAACCAAAAAATAAATTGTTAAAATGTAATATATTTGAATTTTTAAGAGAAAGTTGTGTAATATTTACATCCAAAGAATGTCGGTGTAAAAGGCGTTTTGGTCATTTTTTTTTTTTGTAATGAAAGCTAATAACATTTTAACAAAAAAAAATTTAAAAATAAGTAAAGTGTCAAATGTATTAAGAAAACAAATTATAATTTTTTATCACAACATAGAGGACACTAAATTTATTTATAATAAGCACAACGTATAACGAAGGAGTACGAAACACACCAAGAAATTTGTTGGTACTTGGGAACCAAGTACTTAGATCTGAAGCCCATACGCCAATTCATGCACCTGACATGGAAGCAGCAACATGAAACTGAATACCCACATATGAAAATGGAAGACACCACTAACTGTTTCATCTTGCAATTCTTTTTCTTGTTCTTTCCTTGCTGTATATCAGCGTTTGTGGTGGAAACATATTTTTTTTTATTGTTATTATTTACATCCAAACTTAACGAACAATTTTGCAGAAGTCACGAATAATTATTTAAAAATTTTCTTATGGTTTTGTTCTGGCAAATTGGTAAGTCTTTTAATTCTCTGGTAACATTTCTTGCAATCTAAGAATCCCCCCACTAAAGCTGGATCGAAACGTTTTCAACTATTTTTATTGCACGTATTTCTTTGGATCATGGAAGAATCATGTGCTGTAAGTTCATAGTTTAAGTTTATACACAAGTTGACCCTTTGAGTATTCTACAATATACGCCAAGTTCATAAATCACAATCTTGTTTTGTGGTGTCCTCTTCTAGCTAGAGCTTTTGCATTGTGTTTCTTTTATGCTATGATGTGTCTATATTAGTTTCAATTCTCCTAGTTTCTCATCTAGAGGGGTGTCCAAATATTTTTCATCATTAGGAAAGTCCCCAATGGGGAGATCATGTCTTCCCAAGTGTAGAGTTTCAAGAATAATGGGTTGGATACAAATTATTTTAGGAGGGTTGGTGATCTTGGTAAGCATCTTGAGTCTCACTAGATTCTACTATGCAGGTTTTTTCCTCCACAATGAAGACATATGCCACCATTTCTACAATGTGAGGGATGTTTATGATGGTTTTGATGCCAAATCACTCTCTGATAGAGTTGGAGAAGTGATAGATGGGTTGGAAGCTTTGAAGGCCAAGATTGAGTCAAAACTACAAGAAATGGAGAAAAGCAAGCTCACCTTAGTGGACAAGAAGTTTCTAGAGGATCACATAGTGAGCCCCCTTCATAGCGCCAATGTTGCTCTAAGGCAGATCCAGGTCTCAAAGATTGAAGAAGGATTAAACTCCACAAAGGAGGATCCTTTGATCAATTTTTTCATCACTGAGGAGATAAGAAAGTACATAACCCCAAAGGAGAATAGGGTTGGTAAGATCAACCTATATGGGGTAGACAAGGTTTATAACACTATAGGCCATGCATGTGTTTTGCACAAGAAAGAGTTGGAGAAGTACATGGACTATGATATTGGCTCTTATTGTGATGATGATTGGAACTTGGCTCAGAAACTCATGCTCAATGGGTGTGATCCTTTGCCTAGAAGGAGGTGCTTGACAAGGGCTTCAAAGGAGTACCAAAAGCCTCACCCCATAAATGAGTCACTATGGACACTACCAGATAGAAGAAATGTGAGGTGGGGGAATTACCAATGCAGAAACTTTGAGTGCTTATCAAGCAAGAACCCAAAGAGGGGCTATTCAAAATGCACTGGATGCTTTGAAATGGACAAGGAAAAGGTGAAATGGGTCTCCAATAGTACTTCAATTCTTCCTGTGGACTTTTTGATCAATGACGTTTTGGCAATTAAGCAAGGTGAGGTTAGGATTGGACTAGACTATGGCATTGGAACTGGCACATTTGCTGCAAGAATGAGGGAGCAAAATGTGACAATTGTCTCAACTGCACTCAACCTTGGTGCTCCTTTCAGTGAGATCATAGCTCTTAGGGGTTTGGTTCCTTTGTATGTCACATTGAATCAAAGGCTTCCATTCTTTGATAACACTATGGATTTGGTGCACACCACTGGCTTCATGGATGGTTGGATTGACCTATTGTTGTTGGACTTTATACTGTATGATTGGGATAGAATTCTGAGACCTGGAGGCTTATTGTGGATAGACAGATTCTTCTGTAGCAAAAAGGATTTGGATAATTATATGTTCATGTTTCTTCAACTAAGATACAAGAAACACAAGTGGGTTATTTCTCCCAAGTCAAAGGATGAGGTATATGTTTCTGCATTATTGGAAAAACCTCCTAGAGCCATATGAACACAATCAATTTCTTGTCTTTTTTTTTCTTCTTTTCATAATGTTTGTTTGTGTAGGTGTGTTATTAGATATGTATAAGTAATCAAGAGTTTTTTCTTTTGAATTTCATTCCTGGTACGGATTTTATTGGAATAATTTGCAAAAGTTTGCAATGTGATGATAACTTACCTACATGAAAATTTTCAGTTTTAGCAACTTATGTGGATTTGACTTGTCTTCTATGATAAATGAATTTGAACTTGACTCCAGCTTTATCCTAAATTTTTCTCACTATTAGCATACTCTAGAATTATTTAATTTCGTTTTTCAATCATTTTCTTCCCTAAATTTCATTTCATTTTTTTCATTGGCCTTCATACTCTAGAAGTTATTTTACTAATTGTTACTGGATTTTTTCTTCTTCTTTAAACTATCCTTTTATTTAGATTTTCGCTTTTATATATTTGTTTTACCTTTTTCTATTTTTATTCCTCTAAGTTTTATTTTTTTGCATAAATATCAATCAAATTCTCACAGCATGGTCCTTTAAAAGCAATATTGTTCGAAACAAGGTTTTTCTTCAGGTATTGAAGTTCATGTAGGAGGATCTTAATTTATATGTCTAATTAAGCCCAGTAGTTTATGCTGACAACAAGGCCCAGCATAATTTCATTGGCCCATTTATAAGTGGAGCCCCATTTTAGGGGACCATTTGACATGGATATAATTTGGTGATGGGAATTACTATTTGCACTCCCTCTTTTTAACTTAATACACTCCATTTTAATTTTTTATTTTCCCGCGAATACTTCTAATTAACGAAGAAAATGAGGCTGCCCGTGAGAGCCTACACGTTGTCCCCAAAGCTTAAAAGACACTTCAATAAAGACTAAATTTAGGTATGCAGATGTCATTAATAAATGGTTATACATATTATTTTGATAAAACTTTAATTCATCTAGGAGGATGATACCAACTACACCTAAACAATTCTACTTAAGTTTTATTCATCATATAAATCCTTTCACTCATGATTAATGATAAGTTTGTATAATAAGTATCTTCTAAGTTATGTAAACTATAGTTTCTAATTGAATGATTGTGTTATAATGCTAATACATGTGTCTTGGTTCTAAAATAAGAAAGAAAATAAACATGAACAAATGTTATATAAAAATAAGTCAAAAACATAAAAATAAGTACCTTACAAGAACGTAAAATGTAAACCTAGAAAAAAAAACTTATAATAAAATAAAAAGATTGAGAGGAAATAATACAACAAATTTACATGATTCAACCAAATTGACTTACATTTACGGGGAAAAACAGATTCTATTATTTAAAAATAAAATCAAGTTTTAACAATAAAATAAGTTTTTGCTCCTCTCAAGAACCTCTTATCTCTCTAATTAGTTTTCTTTTCCTCTTAATGTATCTTTTTCTTAGCTTCAATGCGTACACTCTCACTCTTTCATGCTCACACTTAACACTTTATTCTTACACTTTCTCTTTATGTGTTCCTAGAAAAGATCCTTAAACATACATACATACATATATACATACACACATATATATAGGGATCCAAGACACACTAAAAATATGTTTTATAAAATAGACTAAACTTAACCATTAGATTTCAAAATATTTTAAAAGAAAAAGTAAAATGGATCATCAAAAGTATTCAATTTATAACACAAAAAATAACAAACTTTTCAAAAAATATCTTTATTAAATTGAAATTAAAAAAAATAGATGAATTAATCGAAAGCAAAAAACATTCAACAATCTATAAGAATAGTGGAAAAATTTCCGAAGCAACCATTCCAATTCAATCAAAAAATTTGGCAAATTGTTCATTGACAAAAAAAAAAATAAAGGATATGAATGCTAAAAGAAAAGCTGTTAGAAAAAAAATAGAAAAACTGAAAAAAGAAGAAAATAAAATAGGACTTGTAATTTCAGAGACAAATATTCATTCTAACAAAACAACTTATGATAGTAAAAGGCTAGAATTTGAAAAAAAAATATTACAAACAAGGGTAAATGTTCGATTAACTCGTAAATCTTATTCTTTTTTAAAACTTCTGATAAAAAGTATATACGTAGATATATTTCGATATATCATTTGTATTCCTAGGATGAATACACAACTTTTTGTTGAATCAACAAAAAAAAAATGGAAAAAATCCATTTACAATAATGAAGCAAATGTCGAAAGAACTGATAAAACAAATCAAAGTGTAATTCGCTTTATTTCGATTATACACAAATATTTCAATACTAGCAATATGAATTCACAGAATTCTTGTAATGTCTCCTTTTTGTCACAAGCATATGTATTTTTAAAATTATTACAAACCCAGATTATTAACATTAACCTATATAAATTAAAATCTGTTTTTAAATATCATGGAAATTTTTTATTTCTTAAAAACGAAATAAAGAATTCTTTTTTTGGAGTACAAGGTATATTTCATTCTAAATTAAAACAAAAGAACCCTCCCAATTCGGTAATTAATCAATGGACAAATTTGTTAAGGGATCATTATTATCAATATTACTTATCTGAAAGTATATGGTCCAGATTAGTACTTTTAAAAAAATAAAATAAAAGTAAAATAATATAAATTTTTACATATAAATATTTATAATTTTGGTTTATATATATATATAAATAATTTTTTAATTATATTATTAAGCGAGGCGGGGACGGGGGCGGGTATGGGGGCGAGGGCAGGGTGGGTATTAACATCTCCGCCCCTGTCCCCGCCCCCGATTTTATCAATCAGGGAAAACCCGAACCCGAACCTGATAAACACGGGTTTTTCCCATCCAAATCGGGGCGGGTTCAGGCGGGTACCCACGGGGGTGGGTTAGATTTCCATGCCTAGTTGGTGGATTAAACGGATTGACTCATTTAAATTAAAAAAATAAAAAATATATTAAACTTTCTTAGAATAGTGGATTTGAGCCTAACTCATCCTTACAAAATCGGCTTGTAAGGTAAGAGATGCTTTCCACTTATATACTATTTAATTGCCTAATCTCTAGTCGATGTGGGACTTGGGTTTTTCCCAATACACCCCCTCACGTCCGGTGGCCCTTTTTAATGATCTAGGATTGACGGGACTTGAATATACCCCCTCATGTCCCCATGGTGCATGCATCAATGAATGGTAGGTGGCCCTTTTTTAATTGGCAGGACTTAAATACATCCCCTCGTGCCCATAGTGCATGTATCAATGATGGGTGACCCATTTTTAAGAATCTAGGATAGATTTAATACCATCTTAGAATAGTGAATTTGAGCCTAACCCAACCCTACAAAACTGGCTTGTAAGGTGATGGTTGTTTTCCACTTATATACTATTTAATTGCTTAATCTCTAGTCGATGTGGGACTTGAATTTTTCCCAATAAACTTTATAAAATAAAAGTATATTATAATCTTATATTTTAGAATTACAATTATGTTACGCAAATATGACAAATAATATGTAAAAAAATAGATATCATCCACAACCAACTTAATCAACATAGAAAATCAAAGTTATTGCATAAAATATTGACAAATAATATCAAATTGACACTAATTATCATAATTCACAACTAATATGTACAAAAGTTAGTCAATAGTATAAATGTATACCATTAATTTAGGTACCTCAAACCATCATAAGATCAAATACTTAAGGGGTAAAGCTATTCACCATCATCATTCACAAACTACATTTTCATAATTTAATCTTCTAAGACATTGTATGGTCCAAACACCTTATCTAGATTTATATATATGATATTAAGTTGATCTTAATTTTATTATAAATTTAAGATAATTATTTACAATTTTTATGTTGAACTCATGAGATAATTTTTCCATCTGCTATTTAAAAAAATACAAAATTGTAACATTTTAGCCTAAATATAACAATTTGACCTTTGTCCATTAATTTGATCATAACTTGAGTTATATAACTCCTTTGTAAGTAATTCTAACGACATTTGAAATCTAACATTTAAGGCTACAACTTTTATAAAGATTACAAAACCTAATTTTTCCATTTAAGTCTACTCAAAAGGCTTACAACATACATATGTTACATTTCGTGCATAGAATATGATGTTCATCTTTTAACTCACATAACTCGATTATTCATTAACTCAATTTCACATATTCAAGCAATTAACATCAATCTTTACTTTACTCTATAAATAAGGGTTTCTTACGGGAACTACAAACACTCATAAATTCTCAAACAATTCAAATTATAGGAAATTAATTATATATATAATTCAAATATCATATAACACACATAATTACATACTCATATCAACTTCTCATGCAATCATCAAAAATGCTTTCGATTCTCACATGAATCCATTGGCAATTCAATATCCACAAAATTCGTTCAACACACAAAATTATACATAAATATCATCAATTAGAGTAATGAATAATTATATGGAAGACAAAATTTAAGGAATAAATACAAATTGGGTTTTTTCTTCATACAACGTATATAAATAAAAAGGAGGTTGAAATCAATCTCACTACCCAACAATTACCCCACATTCAGAGATTACTCACTCTTGTACATCGATGAGCTCTAGAAGACGGATGTGGACCTTCAAGGTATTCTCTTGTGAGTTTTGTTCCTCCCAAGTCCCAAGCCTAAAGTAGCATGAGCATACGAGGAAAGGAAAATAATGAGCATAAAAAAGAAAATTGATAAACACTAGTACACAATAAGCATTTTACGTCGGTTATTTAGGGGTTTTTACGTCAGAAAAAGTTCCGACGAAGAAGCGGGAGACGTAAATTTACGTCGGACATGCCAAGGTCCGACGTAAAAAGTCATAAAAAAGTTATAAAAAAAAAAAAGAAAAGAAAACAAGTGCAGCAGAACGACCCGTTCTCCAAGCAGAACGACCCGTTCTGCTTGATAAACCCAGGAGCAGGTTCTCCAAATCCGGACTTCATCTTTTAACTCTTCTAGTGTAGAGCTCCTTTCATCTCGGCCTAACCTAGTTGGATCCGTGGATGTTAAAAATAATTTGATACTTCATTTCATTAATTCAAATTGACAATAATTATAAAATTATTTTATACATTGATTCGAATTAATAAAATGAAGTATCAAATAATTTTTAAATTTGCAAATTTAATCTACACATT